AAAAAAAAAAAAAAAAAAAAAGGAGCTTCATAATATTAAAATAATTTCTACATATAATGCACATTCGCCAGAGAAAAAATAGTAAAATAATTGATAAAATAAAAAAAAAAATATATATATATATATATATATATATATATATATATATATAGGTTATGTCAAAATATACCATTTGAAAATAAATTATTTTTTAGGTGATTTTTTTATGTAACCCTTTAAAACTATTTTTACATGGCACATTTGTTATGTTTCATATTAAGATATCCAATATACAGTAATTTTTTATTTCATTTGTTTATATTTTTTTTGTATGACTTTTTTTTTTTTTTTTTTTTTTATTACATAAATAAATAGATATATATATATATATATATATATATATTATTATGATGTAAAATAATAAAAAGTTTACATTATTTATTGTAAGATATGTTATATTTTTTTTCAAGAAAAATATAAATAATTTAATAATAGTAAATATAATAATAATGAATAAGTTAATTTCATTGATTAATATTTCACAATATATATATTTTCTTTCTTTTTTACATGTTAATATTTATTTTTCTAAAAATTAGCATTTCCATCAAGACTTGAAAGAATAGAAGATATTTCTCTTAAAGTTTGTTTAATAACGCAAACAGGAAGATTAAAGTAATAAATAGAATTTAATTTACTTTGTGATGAAAAATTTTTGTTATTTTTTTTGTTAGCAAATCTAGGTGTTAGACCTTTTGGTATTTTTATATTCTTTTCTTTATTTTTTTGATTTTTTTTAGAATTTATTAAAATACCAAGTTCTTCAAAGTGTTCAATCGCTTGTTCAATGGAATTTCCTTCTAATATATCTTTTATATAAGAGGTTTCTGATAATTGATTACATACATCTCGAAAACATCTTTGTATATCAGAATAAGTTATTTCAATATTTTTAATTTCATTTTTTAATAAATCTTCTTGAGATTCTTCATTTAAATTAAGATGTGTATTGTTTACTACGTTGCATGAAGCATACAGACATATCTTTTGAATTAATGGTAAACTTTTAATTTTAAATAAAATGTCTTTATGTTCTTCTAAGGGCATTTTATCTGTAATTTTTTTTATATCTGATATCATTACTGTATTGTTATTCGATGTAGATAAAAATTCTTCATATTTGCTTTCTATATTTTTAATTTGGTTTTCAATAATTTTATCAAAAGATTCTAATTTTTCTACATTTATATTATTAAGTATATCATCTTTATCTCTAAAAGAATGAATTTTATTATCAGTTTCATTTTTATATAATACTTTAAATGGGCTTTCATAATACTGTTTAGGTGTATATTGACTATAATCATAAAATGATTCGTTATCATTTGCGTTAAAATTTTTTCTTATTAATATTTCACTTAATGTTTCATTATTGTTTTGTATTTTTATAACTTCCTTTCTTAAAGTTTCATAACCAAAAGTATTTTCATTTTTTAAGTCAGTAAACTTTAAGTTTTGCGTATCATTATTGAATTTATTTTCCATCTTATAACCCCTATTATTAAGTAATGGTGTTTCATTTTTCTCAAGGAAAAATGTATCATTTGTATCTTCATTATAAATATTACTTTCATTAGTATTATTATTTTCCATTTTTGATTTTTTGCTTGCTCTACTTAACAAACTCTTATCATCCTTTTCTCTTTTTTTGAAATTTGATCTTTTGTTGGTAGATAATTCTAATTCATTAATTTCTTCTCTTGAAGATTTTTGATCAGTGAAGATTGATTCATTTTTTTTTTTATCATCCTTCTGATTATTTAATAAAAGGCATAAATTTCTTTTCTCTTGTTTATTAAAAATTTTATTCATTAAAATTTCCTCTTTTAATTTAATTAAATTTTTTTTTCTTTCATCTAAATCGGATTTTTTATCAGAAAAAACTCTTAAAATGGCATCAAAACATGATCTAATATCACCATTTCTATTCGAAATTTGTCTAACATGTATATTTAAAGAAACTCCTTTAAAAATCTTATTAACAAATTCATTTTCTAAGGTGTTTAATTTATTTCTAATAATACTCATAAATTGTTTCTCATTATATGGTTTATAAATAATTTGATTAATTTTTATATGAGTATAATCTTTTATTAAATCTAAACTATTGGCAATACCTACTAATATTATTTTACATTTGCTATTTTGAATGCATTCATATAAAGCTTTAACTACATCTTCATTATAATTTTTACTTTGTATTTTTGCTCTTAATTCCATTCGTACATTTTTCAAAGCAATAAAATCTAATTCATCTACAATTACTATTTTTAAATTACTTAATTTACTAGTGTAATTAATGAATAGTTTTTTAACTTCTTCTAATCCATTTAAATGATATTTTTGCTTAACATTATTGAAAATATGTTTTTTGTCTTTATTCGTAATTTGTTGTAAAATATCAACAAAAATATCATATGGTTTTTCGCTATTAGAACAGGAAACATAAAAGTATGATGAATCAATATTTTTATAATATTCTATTTTTTCTTTTTTTTTTTGTTTTTTTTCTTTTTCTATTTCATTAATTATATAAAATATACTATAGGTTTTTCCTTGACCACTTGGCCCTGTTAAAAATATTCCTTCACTTTCTGAATTAGTTGAACATCTTTTTAGGATAGTTCTAATTTCATTTATTTCTTCTTCTCTTCCCACATCACTTTTAAAATCTTTCGAATCTAAAAGTGATTTAGATTTATCATAAAATTCTATATATTTATCACATTCATTTATATCATCAATAAGCTTTTTTTCTATTTCATCTAATTTTTTTATTGAATTTTCTATTTTTTCTATATTTTTTTCGACAGTATTAACATCTATTGACATTCTTTTGTTTTTAATTATTCCATTATCAGTTTCTTTTTTTTCATTCACATTATTTTTTTTACTTATTTCTATATTATCATATACTTCATTCTCTTTATTCACTTTTATTAATTTAGTCTTTTTTTTTTTATCTCTTATATCTTCATTACTTGTTCTTCTATTTAATTTACTTTTATTTTTATTTTCATCTTTTTCAAAATTATTTGATTCTTTATAATATTTTTCATTATTTTTAATTTTTGTACATAATTCATTTTCTTCCACTTTACTTTTATTTAAATTTATGCAAGTTACATTATTTACCTTCATTTTTTTTTTTTTTTGTCAAATTTATAAAAAAAGAAAAAGAAAATATAATCATGAAGAGAAAAATGAATAAAAGAAAAATATATATATTTATAAGAAATTAAAAATATTTAATTATTATTCTTTCAAAACATATATTAAGAAAAAGGTGTTTATTCATGTAAAAAAAAAAAAAAAAAAAGAGATCATTTATAAAATATTTACAATTATATATAATTATTTATTTATTAAAAAAAAATAATATAGATTTTATAAGTTTTATATATTATGTATGTTAATAAATTTTTTGATTAAAACAAAAAAAAGTTATTAGTTTCAAAATATTAACAAAAAATATTGCTATATATTTTAAGATGTGTTTTTACAACCGTCTTATGATAACAATATTTCGAAAAAGAAAAAGGAAAAACTAAAAATAAAAAATAAAATTACCGAAAATTTTTTATTACATTTAAATTAATGTATGTATATATATATATATATTTAAATGTAATTAAAATTTACAGTAGTATATTGATATTTAATATTTTAAGGTTATTAGAATTATATAATTTTATTTTTTTAATATAATATATAAATAATTTAATAATTAAAAAAATAAGGATATTCTCTTATTATACATCTATTTTTTTCTTTATCATCTCTTTATATTATTTTTGAAATGTTTAAAAAAAAAAAAAAAATATGATACAATTATTCATATACTGAATAAAGTCATACAATTAAAAATAAATTCATCAGATATAATATGCCAAAAGAAAAAAAAAAAAAAAAAAAAAAAGGATAAAAAAACATATATATAGAAATAGAAGAATTAAAATATAATTGTTAGTTTTCTCTTATTAATAAAAAAAAAAGCTTTTATTTAAAGACTTTTTGTTTTTTCATTACAAATATATTTTAATTATATATAAAATAAGCATACATAAAAAAAAAAAAAAAAGAAAATTTTTATTTAGAAATTAAAAAAAAAGACAAAACATTTTTAGTAATATTATATTGTAAATAATTTAAAAATATATCAAATGCGAATATATAAGCATATAGAAAAAATAAAATTGATACAAGCATATATAAATTAATATGCATATAAATTATTATAAAATTGTTTTACTATTTTTAATAATTTTTCTATTTTATTTATATTTTTTAAAATAAAGAAAACATTTTTTTTTTTTTTTTTTTGCTCAAATAACTTTTTATTGATAATATTAAAATAAAAAAAATTAGAAAAAAGATGAATTATTAAAAAATATATTTATATGTATATAGGTATATGTAATAAATTACTATATTTTTATTTCACATATTATTATATTTTACTATTTCTATGTTTTAAAAATTTAGAGTTACTAAGACAATAACAAACTTTAATTCTAAAAAAAAAAATTATTTTTTTTTTTAAAAATTTTTAAAGCATCAATTATAATAAATTTGTTTTATATAAAAGCTAAGATTTTTTATTTTCTTTTTGCAGAAAAAAATTGTAATAAATAAGAATTTAAAAAAAAAAAAAATAAAAAAAAAAATTATAAAAAAGAAAAAAGAAAAAAAAATGAAAAATAAAAAAATAAAAATAAAAACAAAATATATAGAATGATGGTAATAAAAAAAAAAAAAAAAAAATTATGAAAAGTAACATATACTATGACATTTTTTTTTCATTGGATAATTCAGAAAAATAAAAAATTAGAAAATTAATAATTCTATATTTAAAAAATACGGAATATTTTTTCATTAAATAGTATAAGGAATATATAGAAAAGGAATTAAATGAAAATGCAAATTAATATAAACTTAAGTTTGTAAAAGTAATAATTGAAAAATATATATATATATATATATTACAAAATATATTCTTTTAAGGAAAACACTTTTTAAGTCAAAATTTTAATACTAAGAGTATGAAATTTTCTATAAATATAAATACATTTGTATTTCTATATATCAATTTGGTTTTTTTTAATATGGCTCATAAAAATGTTTTTAATAAAGATAGCAAAGTAATAAAAAGTAAAATGAAAAATTCAAAAAGAAAAATATCAAATATTTATTTTATAACTCAAAATAAAAAAATTAATAATAAATTGACCCTTAGAAAAAACAGGAAAAGTAATTATTTAAATCAAAATACAAATTATGAAGTAAAAGAAAATATTAATTTGGATATAGATCAAAATATAAATAATAACGAAGCTTTCTATAAAAAAGAAAATGTTTTGTGTAATAAAAAAATGAAATTAATATTGCAAGTATTAAATAGAACAAAATGGTTTGATTTCAAATTTTTTTCACCAGCAAAAATTAATTTATTTTTAAGACTAAAAGAAAAAAAAGATGGATACAACGAAATATCAACTTTAATGCATTCAATAAATTTAGGTGATGATCTTTTTGTAACAATATTAAATAAGGAAAACCAAAAAAAGTTAAGAAATTTGTTGCATCAATGTTCCTCTGGAGATTTCTTAACTATAAAAAAAAGTAAAAAATGTAAAATTAAACATAAAAATACTTATACTAAGAAAGAAAAAGACTTATATTATAACAATTATCCATTAAACGATGATAATATAATTATAAAAATTTTAAAAAAATACAGAGAAGAATTAAATATTAATGATGATATAAAATTTTTAGTTCATGCAAATAAAAGAATACCCATATTTGGTGGGTTAGGAGGAGGATCTTCTGATGGTGCAACAATTTTTTATTTTTTAGAAAAATACTTTTATAAATATTTAAAGTTAAATACGTTAAAAAGTGATTTTTTAAAAAAAATTGGTAGTGATATATCTTTTTTTGATAGTTCAGGTTTTGCATATTGTACAGGTAAAGGTAATGACATAATTGACTTAAAGAATGTTTTTTCTGATATTATAAAAGATAGAATATATTTATTTCAATTTAATGAAGGTTTATCATCTAAATTAGTTTATGAAAATGTTGATTACAACAAAATAATACAATATAATCCAGTAGATTTATTAGAGAATATTATTAATTCAAATAATAATATCACTGAAATTATTAAAGAAAAAGAGAAAAAATATATGAAATCATTTGTTAAAATTGAAAGTAAAGATCTACATAAAATATTTATAAATGATTTAGAGCATTCAGCTTTCTTTTTGGCGAAAAAGCTAAAAGAAATTAAAAAAATTTTAGTTGATCAAAATATTTTTCAAGTTGTAACTATGAGTGGGAGTGGTTCAACATTATTTGCCATACCAAAAAATAATATTAATTTAGATTTAGAAAAAATTCAAATTAAAAATTTAATTGAACATATACAGGAAAAATTAAATGTAAAAATAAAAATATATTTATGTAATATTTTAAGAAAGAATGAAAAAATTTGGTACAAACCAAAAAAAATTGCAGAAGTAATAAAATAAAATGAGATATATGTATTTAAAAAAAAAAAAAAAAAAAAAAAAAAAAAATTTATTTAAAAATTATAAAAGTAGAATATCTACATAAAACAATGAAATATATATATATATATATATATATATATATATATATATATATATAATTAAGAATATTTTTTTAATTTTTTTGTTTTAGCATTATATCATTTATTGTCATATATTATTTCGCTTTTTATTTTTTTATTTTTGAATTTATTTGTAAATGAAATGAAAGTAATAATTAGTATATTTTTTCTTTTTTTTTTTTTTTTCATAGTTGTTTTAAATTCTTTGTCTTTCATTATGTTATTTTTTTTTTTTTTTTTGAAATTTATTTGTTTCAATTATTTCAATTTTGTTAAAAACAAATTTATATTTATCGCTTATACAATTTTTTTAATGAATTTATTTTAAGCTTATTAAAACTTTTTAATACAGATAAAACAGCTTATCAAAATATATTCGAGTTTCCTGTGATTTGTTATTTTATCTTATTTTCTTATTTTTGTAATATTTATTAACAGAATTTTTATTAAACTTACATTATAACTTTAAAGTTTTTTTTCCTTTTTTTATTATGTCTTTTTAATTAGATTAATTACTTCATTTATTTAAATTTAAATTATTCATTATATTATTAGCATCTTCATGAATTTCATTTGTTTTTTCATTTAATTTATGATTTTCATTGATAATATCTTTTTTTTTTTTTCTTCTTAATGAGTATCCAGCGTCAAATTTCTTTTTACTTAAATCTAAATTAAATTTTTTACAACAGTAACTTAAACCATATTTTTTTATTGTTTTTAATCCCTTTGCGCTAACTTTTAATTTTACGAACCTATTTTCTTCTTCAAAAAAAATTCTTTTTTTAATTAAATTTAACCTTTGTATCCTATGTGTTTTTACACCTGACTTGGAAATTTTACGAGCATTCCAATTATCCATTTTTCCTAGAATCATACACCTTTTTTTTTTTTTTTTTTATTTCAACAAAGTAAAATTGATATATATTAGTATAAATAAATATATATAAATTTTAAAAAAATACTTTTTTTTTTTTTTTTTTTTTTTTTTTTTAAATAAAAATATTTCTCACCTTCTTATTGGTAACTTAATTTCTTTATGAGGCATCATTGTAACTTTGTTGATTCTCTTTTTGCCTTTTAATCCATAATGTCTTGCTATTGATGATGTTCCTTTCATTCTATATTTTTTTATCTGAGAAAAAAATATAAAATAAGGAATGAAATCAAATAAAATTAAACTAGATAAATGATTTACATAAAAATATAGAAATTAATAAAAAATACTTTAAGTAATATAAAAAAAAAAAAATACATTAACTAGATTTATATATGTATATTTTTTTTTAAATTACTTCTAAAGCTTCTTTATGTCTTTTTTTTGTATATAACGAAAATTTTGAAACATGAGGTTTTTTATAGGAATAATTATTTTTACATATTTGTTGCTTTTTAATTAATAATTTTACTGAATAAAAAAGAATAAATATAATAAAATACTAAGTTTCATAAAAAAAAATTTATGAATAAGGTTATGAAAATAAATAATTATTTTTCATATGATTTCTAGAGGATATTTTTTTTTTCTTATTTTTTTTCTTGAATACCATAAAAATAATTTTGAAAGTTTATTCTTTTAGTTTCATATTTGTTTATCTATAAAAAATACAATAGAGAAAAAAAACAAATTTTCATTATCAAGTTTTAATTAATTTTTTTTTTTTTTTTTTTTTTATTTTAGACAATTTTTTATATTAATTTATTATATTATTCATTGGTTTTTATAACTATATAAATATTTGTAAAATTGTCAGAAATATATAAAATTATAACTGTTGAGTGTCCATAAAGTAACAGTGAATTTATGTTAATTATTATATATAATATATACACATTTTTAGTTAAGTTAAATATTTTATTAGTAGTTTTACTTTGCATTCTTTTTTTTCTATAATAATATTTTAAAACACATTTAGAATAAAAATAAAAAAAAAAAAAAAAAAAAAAGCAAAAAGAGAAAAACTACACAAAAATATTATAAAATATATATATCAGCATCATTTTATGAATAATGATTTATAAAAGTAAATTCATGTAATTATAATTCTATACATAGAAATAAATTTTTTCAATTTCGTTGTAAAAACATTAAAAATTCTTTTTTATTCTTTTTATTTCTTTGCCTTTTAGAAAAAAATTCATATTTAATTAGTATGTTCATCAAAAAAAAAAAAAAAAAAAAAAAAAAAAAAAAAAAAAAAAAAGAAAAATTTTTTAAAACAAAAATTTTACAAAAAAAAAAAAAATTTTAAATAAAATTTCTTCATTTATTCTTCTTTATTTTATTTTTTTATTTTTTACTTTCTTATTTTATTCATATTTTTCTTATAAATTATTGTTTTTAAAATTTTCAATATATATTTATTATATATGAAATAATATATATTAACAATTTTTTTTTATTTTTTTAATATCATAATATCTTAGTTTTTCAACATATTTTTTAGTTATTTTATTTACATATCAGGAAATATATTTTACTTTGAATTTCTATCTTTTCAATTTTATATATGTATTATAAGCTTTAATATCATTGATTTTTTTTTTTTTTTTAAACTTTTTTATATTTCTGTTCATATATTTTTCTTTACATTTTACATAAAATTTTGATTTATGAATGTTTATAAAAGTTTTGTGAATTGCATAAAAACTCATTCTGTTACAATAAAATTAAAATTTTTCTTTTTGCTCTTATAAGGTTATTTAAATACATTTGAGTATATATTTTTCCTAGTATAATGAAGTATATTACTATTTATAATTTTTTTTATTTTTAATTTATAAATTTTTATTATATATATTTCAAAAAGTTTCAAAATGGATAATCCTCGTAGTATGGAAGACGCTCAAAACGCTTTAGGAATGATGATATATCAGATATTAAATAATGTTATTTTTTCATTATAAATTTTAATAAATATAAAAGTTTTTTTATGTGTTTTAAATATAATTTTTAATTAATTTTATTATATATTCACAACATTTACCTTTTTTTTTTCTTCTTTTTTTTTTTTTTTTTTTCTTTTTTCCATATATTTTAAATAAATACATATATTCATATGTCTACATATTTTATTTTTAGCAAGTAAGAAAAACCTGTTTTGAAAAGTGTTTTGGTCAGAAATTTTCTGAACAGATGGGGAAGAATGAACAAATTTGCCTGGCTAAATGCATGGACAGAATGTTAATATTTAAATAAAGCTTTTTACTTTTTATTTTTCTTAGATTAATTAATTTAAAAATATTTTCTTTTATATATAATATTTTTTTTTTTATTTAGGTATGAAGCACATACTATTGTAACTAAAGCGTCTACAGAAATTGCACAGAATTTAAATATTGATACAAATTTTTAAATTTTATTTTAGGAAATAAATTGTAATATTTTTTATTTTTTAACTTTTTATATTATAAACTTTTTTATTTTTACTTTTTCTTACATTATAAAAAGAAAAATTAAAGTTATAATAAAAAAAAAAATTAGTATATTGTTGTATCTTTTAATATGAATAAATAGTTCAATTATTAAATTATTCAAAAAAGAAATAAAAAAAATGTGAAAATAATCGTATAATTTGTTCACACAGTAATTTTAATAAATATTATTAAAAAATAATAAAAAAAAAAAAAAAAAAAAATTAAAAAAAGGTTTTTGCATATTTCTAAAAATTATTATTGTAATTTATATAAATACAAATATATTTGAATTTTGAAAAATTAAGATTTTCTCAAATAATATAACGGAGATTTTTTATTTTATATTATTAAATTAGCATTTTTCATTTATTTATATATTATAATAAAATATCATATATTGAATTATGGTATTATATAGACAGATGACGAACAACTCTGACATACTTGAATAACATAATATTCGTAATACAAATTTTCATTAAAAAGAAAAAAATCACCACATCGACAGAAATAAATATAAGTTTCCTCTTCTTTAATATATTTTAAATCATTCTTATTGATATTCAAAGCATTTTCATATTTCTCAGATTTGTTGTTGCATTCAATTTCTTTTAAAATTTTTTCATAAGCCCATACTAATGTTACAAAATCTATATCTTTTTCCTTTTTTTCATTATTTTCTTTAAATAAATGATAATTTGATTTATCAGGATGATATAATATGGCTAACTTTTTAAATTGTTTTTTTAAAGTTTCTACATCACAGTTTTTTTCAACTTTTAAAATTGAATATGGATCTTTATCTTCGTTCATATTCATTTCTTTTATATTTCATTTTTTACTTTTGTTTTATGTTTCCATTATATTAATTATACATTTTATTATTTCCATTTCTCTTTTTTAATAACATTTTATATATATATATTTATCTTATTAAATGAAATTTTTACTTTTTGCTTATTTTTTTTTTTTTTTTTTTGTTTTTTTTTTTTTTAATGTTTTAATTTTATATTTATTATTTTAATTTTTTTTTTTTTTTAATTATAATATATATAGAAACTTATTCATTAACATTCATCATATTTCAACTTATTTTTCTTAAAAATTTTTAATATAATGTAGTTTTTTTCTTTTTTGACATTCATTGTTGTCAATATTAATATTATTTATATGAATTTCTATTACTTTTTTGTTCTATAGAAAGTTTTATTTTTTATTTTTTTTTAGAAGTAAATATAATACTATTAAATAAAAAACTCATGCATTATTTTTTTTTTATTTAAAAATATATCAAAAAAAATTGAAGGTTTATATGATAGTGATTTATAAGATGTTCATAGTTACTATGAAAAATATATATATTTGAATAAAATGAAATAACATTTTATTAGGTATTTTATATGTTAAAATAATAATTAAAAAAGAATTATTTTTACAAATATTTTATTTATTTTTTTTTTTGTATATAATACTATAAAGAATAATTATAAAATATTTTTAGTCATTGCTTATATACAGTCATTCACTTTTATTAATAATTTTTAACTGAAATTAATTTTAACATTTTAAGTTATTTAAAAAGTTGACTTTATAATATAACCAAAGATTTTTATTTATTTTAAAATTTATGTTTTTCTTTTCTTTTTTTCGTAGATATATTGAATAAAACTATTCTTTTTTTAGACCAAAATATTTTTAAGTATTTTTTGTCAAATTTTTTATCTATATAAATAAAACATTAAATAAAAAATTTGTTTATTTTAAAATATATGTTTAACATATTACAAAAATTTATTATATGCAATAATTATTTATATATTTATGAATTTTTCATAACTTTTTATTATCATCGGCAATAAATTATTTTTAGTTGTAAATTATAAATCATGTAATTTAATATATAAATTATTATACACATTGAATTTTAATTATTTATTAATTATATAACTAAATTTTTTTTTTTTTTTTTTTTTTTTAACATTATTTATGATATTTATTTGTTAAAATATTCTACATTTTTTCATTAATATTAAAGATCACAGATTAATTTTTCTCAAATTAGAAAAGTACTCCAAAAGTGAAGATTTACCAAATATAAGACATGTAATATAAATTGGAATTAAAAAGTCATAAAATAAAATAATAATTTTTCATAAGTTTCCAAGATAATAAGTTTATAAAAAAAAAAAATTTCTTATTAATAAAATTTTTAGAGGTTAAACATTATTAAATTAATAAAAAAAGACTTCAATTTTTTTAAGAAAATATAAACTTAAACTTACAAAATACTAATTTAATTTTTACAAATAACATTTATGTTATATTTAGATCTCAAAAGAATAATTTTTTTTTTTTTTTTATATTTCTTCAATGATAAAAAAGTAAAATAGGTATGTCGTTTAGTTTATTTATTTTTTCTTTTTTATTCAAAATTTCAAAACTTTAAGATTACAATCACATAAAAAATTTTCTATAAATATTTTGTTTAGAAATGTTGTTTTTATATATATTTTAAAAAAACATCTTTAAATATTTTATCTATAATTTTTAATTTATTAATCTCATTTTAGAATTTTTAAGAACTTTGATTAATATTAACTATGATAATATGAAACGCTTCTTCAAAAAATAAGAAGTAAAAATGTAATGTAAAAATAAAATAAAAACAATGTAAAAACACAATTATAAAATAGGAAAAAAAAAAAAAAAAAAAAAATTGAAAAAATAAATAAAATTATTATGAAATATATAACTTATAGGTTAATTTTCTTTTTGTATTTATTTTTTTTTTAAATACACAGTAACACCAGGAATAAATTTACATAAAATTTTTCTTTAAATAGATGAAACAAAAATTACTACATTAATGAGAGAAACTAATTTATTTTAACATTCTTAAAATAATTTATATAATTCATTTTAGATAAAAATTATTTTAATTATAAAATTATTAAAAAGAATAATTTTTAATTAGAATTTTTATATTTCAAGCATGTATGCATTAATTTCTTTTTGAAAGATTAAGTTTGGAGAAATATATATGTTAAATTTTTTTATATGTTATTCGGAAGGGTGTAATATATTTATCATAAAAATGGTACCTATTTGAATAAAAAGTAAAATGAAGTAAAATATTAAAAAGAAAAATAATAAAATGTATATATGGATATATTAAGCATAATAAAAGTTGAAAAAAAAAAAAAAATTATAACAAATATGTTGGATAATTTAAATGAATAATAAGAAAATTTTTTTTTTTTTTTTTTAAAAGAGTTTGTTAACCTTTATTTTTTTCTTTTATCTCTTCTTTTCTTTTTTTCTGTATTTATATATTTTTATCCTTTTTTTTTTTTTTTTTAAATTTTTAATAAAAACCAATTTAACCATTTTCTTAACCATTTTTGTAAGTGTAAAAATATGTTTTATTTATGCCCTAAAAAATTAGGAGGTGGTGTTGGAAGAAGATTATGTATGCCTATTTATAGTGGAAGTAGTGATAGCGTTTTTAAATATAAAAATTTTGTTTTAAAAAAAATAAAACATAAATATGAAAATGTTTTATTATTTGGTGATATACATAAATTAAGAATGACAGCAGAAGAACTTATAAAAAATGTCATAAGTAATGATAATATTGATAATGATTATAATAATTATAAACTTCAAAAATATATGTACAATAAAACTGAAAAAATTAAAAAAGCTAGTAATGATGATATAGAAAAAGACAAAAGTTCAAAAAATAAAAATTCTATAACAAAAAAATTATCTTTTTGGCAAATATATAGCATAAGAGTAAAAAAAAATATTCATTTATTAAATTTTTTTGATTTTGCATTAATTCTTCAATCTTTTCACTTATATAATAAAGACACCGGTAATACTTTTTTTTTTTTTTTTTTTATATTCATTTTTTAAAATTAGTTTATTCAATTGTATAAATAGATTTAATATGTAATAATATAATTGTTTATATTTGTGTTTTCATCAGATATATTTTTTTTTCTTTTTTGTATTTTTTAGTTACATAATATAATTAAATTTATACAATTTTATCTATTATTTATTCATTTGTCTATTTATTTTTATTGTAATGATGTTATTTTATGAATTTTATTATTTTATTTTCTTATATATATTAGTTTTAATATTTTTGTTTTTATGGATTCATGTAACTCGTTTTATATAATTAAAGCATATTTTTTTCTATCTCTATTATTTTATTAAATTTAACTTAATTTAATTTTTTTTTTTTTAATTTTAGGAATATATGTGTCTAGCATAAAATATATCGAAGATCAAATTCCAGTAATGAACGGTATTTCGTTTGTTATAATTTTAAATATTTTAAGTAAGAGATTAAAAAAAAATAACTACAATGAATTTTTTAAAAAAATGATGAATTATTTACCTAATATTTTATATGAATTAAATTTAAAAGATATGAGTAATATTCTAAACTGTTTTTATAATCTTGAATTAAATGATAAAAAAGTATGTGAACTTTTTTATCTTAAAATATTATCAAATATAAATAAAATAGATGCCTTAACATTATCATCATTATGCTATATTTTTTATAAATATAATTTTGAAAATATTCATTTTTTTGAATGTTTAAAAAAAACGGGATTTAATTTATTAGATGACTTCGATGCTAATCAATTTTATAAATTTATTTTTTCATTATATAAAAAAAAAATTTGTTTAAAAGAAATTATTGAAAAAAAAAAAAATGATATTTTATCCTTTTTACCTAATTACAGTGATGAAGAAAAATTATTTATTTGTGAAATTTTTAACTTAAAATGAAGTATTATTGTTTTAATATTAATGTTTATTTTTTATTAGTATTTTTTTTTTTTTTTTTTTTTTTTTTTATTTTTAAAAAAGGTAGAAAATTATGTATTTTTAATTTTCAATATTTTTCATTAACATTATTTTTTCATTATAAAGTTTTGAATAATTTATTAAAGTTTTGTTAATCATATAATTAGTTAAGAATAAAGTAAAAAATATGTTATAAAAACATTATGTAATTTATTTGTCTAATTATTTAATTAATAGTTTTAAAAAAAAAAAAAAAAAAAAAAAAAGAAGTTTATTTTTATATTGCATATTAAGAAAAGAATCAAAATATAAATATTGTAGATTAAAACCAAATATTTATTATAATAGTAAAAATATTTTTGATAATCTTCATTTTCTTTTTTAACTTTTACATTCAATTATTATTATTTTATTTTTTTTAATGTAATAATATACTTTATTATTTTCTAGGGTTTAATATATATATATATATGTATATATAATATAATTTTATAAAAAAATGAATTATAAAATAAATGTCTTTCTTTATATATGTAAGATTAAAAATGAAATAAAAATTAAGAAAGATATAATAAAGAAAATTATACCAACGAAAAATAAATCTAATAAAAATATTATTGTCAAATATCTTTTATACAATAGAAGAAATAAGAGTTATATAATAAAAAGAAAATGGAAAATAAATTATATTTTAAATAAAACAAAAAAAAAAAAGAAAAAAGAGAGAAAAAATTATATTGGTGAAAGCGATTCTATTAAAAAATTTTATGACAGGGAAGATATAATTTCAAAAAAAAATGATTTAACTAAAAATTTGTTAAATACAAATAAAAGCAGAGAAAATATTTCTACATCTTATAATCACTTGTTAAATAAAATAAATAGAAATATAAAAAATTATACAAATACAACAATAATAAATACTGGTAATAAAATAGAAAAAAAAAAAAAAAAAATTTGTTAACATATTAGAATTACTAAAGTATATTTATATTTTCTTTATTTTGTTCTCCAAAAAAATATATTTGTATTTATAACTTTTTATTCTAATTACCATTTCTAATTTTTTTTAATTCTAAAATGTTTTTTCAAATTTATTTATAATAACATGTATATATATATATATATTAATTTTTTAAGGAGTAGACACTCACGAAAATGAAAAAAATGTTTTCCTTTATGGAAGTTTATTCATAAAATATTTAAACAAATGTAGTAGAAAAAAAATTATACATACATATATAAAAAGTTAAAAAAAAAAAAAGTAAAATATATATTAATTAAAAAAAAAAAAAAAAAACTAATATTTATAGATGAAAAGAAAAAAGAAGAAATTAAGAAAACATCAAAATATTTTAAAACAAGTAAAATGAAATATGAAGAAATTATTTCAGAAAATAAAACAAAGAATAAAAAGGAATGTTACAACAATTTCAAAAGTTCTTGTGATATTAAGGAAAATTATTACGAATATAAAGACAACGTTGAAGAATATTCAAAAAAAAAAGGATTAATATATGATATATACGATTATATTATAAAAATGAATTATGAAAGTAATTATAAATTTCTTAAATATTCATAAATTATAATTTATTTCTTTATTAATTTATATTTTTTTTAATAGATATTAAAATATCAATTTCTTCTTGGGTATATAGAAATTATAAAATAATTGATATACTAAAAAAAAAATATCAGAAAAAAAAAAAAATAAAAAATAAAAAAGAATCTTTTTGTTATAAATGCTTTATAAACAAATTTTTTAATAATTCTAATTTGAAATATACAAAATGTTGTAATAACTTACCTTTTAGAAAGACAATAAAAAATTATAAAAATTTAAAAAGTATTTTAAAATATATTATCAGAAAGTATGTTAAAATAATAAATAATATAAGAGAGAAAACAAATGTGTGCTTTCTTTTTAAATATAAATTTATGATAAATAATCGAAATATTTTTTTATATTTTATTAACTTTCCTCTTTGCAATATAGAAAAGAATAAAATATTTTATAATATTAATAACGAAAAATCTTTATTATTTTTATTTAATAAAAAAATTGTAAATTCATTAAAGGATATCAATGATTATTCTAATTTTCTATTTCCTTTTAGCAACTCAAAAAAGTGTCAAAAAGTAATTAATTTAAAGAAAAAAATTATATACTTTGTAAAAAATAAGAAATATTCATTTAAAGATAATAAAAATGTGAAAAAAGAAATATTTATAAATAATAGTTTGAGTAACCATAGAAAACATAAATTTGCAAGTGATAATGATATTAATATAAGAAAAAAAAATAATACAAAATGTGATTTTACAAAATATAACAAAAAAGATATGATATTCCATGTTTTGATTTTTGAATTATTAATTAGACTTATATTTGAAAATTCTAAAACTTATTTTACTATTTTCATTAGTGACATAACTAATGATTATGACTTTTATAAAAATATATACTATTTAAATTTAAGTAAAATAATAAACATATGTGTCAAACTAAAGAATACAACAAAAAAAAAAAAAATTAAAAGTAAATCCTTATTATCACAAAAAAATTTACTAGATAATTTATTAAAAGAGAATGATAAATTCAAAAATAAAATAGAAGGAAAAGATAAAATAATATTACAGTTAGAAAATGAGATAAACGAAAAAAATAAAATAGTATCAGAATTAGAAAATGAAATTCAAAAAAATAAAGATGAAAATTTAGATAAAATAAAAATTATAGAAAATTTAAAAAAAAAAATTTCAAAAAAAGAAACTTTGAAAACAGAAAATACAGATGAGTATTCACAAAAAAATAATAATTATTTAAAGAAATTATATAATGAAAATAATTTATTAAAAGAAAAAATAAAAAAATTAAACAATTTAATTAAAAAAGAGGAAACTTTCTTAAAGACAACTGATAAACTTTGTGAGAAAAATGATAATTCTGAATCTATGTTATTAAGAAGACTAGATGTAAAACAAAAAAAAATAAAAATAAAAAATAAAAAATAAAAAATAAAATAATAGGATAAATTAGTTTACATACAAAATAATTTATGATATTGTTTATTCTTTTATAGAATAATAATGAAAATGAAAATGATAAATTAAACTTTTTTTTTAAAGCTTTTGTAGATACTGAACAAAAGTTATATGTAAGAAAAAATTTAAGAAATATTTAAATACACAAAAATAATAATATATAAATAATATTTATATCTTTATTTTTACTTTTATATTTACTTTTCTTTTTTTTACTGTTAGATAGCTGACATAGTAATAAAAACTCAGAAAGAGATTATTACAAAAATTAAAAAAGATAAAAATTATTATTTTGAAGAACTTCAAAAGAAAAAAATTATTTTTGTAATAACAGTTATTATAATATTTTATTAAATTAAAAACATCTTTATATATATATATATATATATATATATATATTTTTCTAGAAAAAAGAATTAGAAAATTCACTGGACTTTATATATTCAGTTTGTGAAGACATAAAAACAAAAAAAGAAAAAATTTGTCTAAAAAATAGAATAAATAAATTACAAGATTGTATAAATGTAAAATATTAAAACATAAAATAGAATAAATAAAAAAAATTAATGTAAGTCTATGAATATTCAACATTTATCTAAAAATTTTTTTTTTTAAATTTTATATAATATTATTAGACATTTCTAAATGAATTAGAAAAAAATTACTAAAAAGTTTAAGAGAGATCAGAAATATATATATATATATATATATATAAAAGATATAAGTTTTAGAAAGAAAATAACTTTTTAAAATAACTCATCAAAGATTAAGTGAAATCAAAATTTTATTGACTACCAGATGTATTATTATATAAATGCATATTTCCTTACTAAATTTATGAAAGAATCATTATAATGATTTTACAGTTAAAATTAAAAATGGTTTAATTTTTTTTAATAAAGAATATTGACGAAATTTATTTTAATAATAAAGCATTTAACTAAAAAAATTTTTTTTAGACAAATTTTTGCAACTATTAATTTATTTTAATAATGATATAATTAAAAACAATAAAGAAAATAATAGTAAAAATAACAGTCATATCAGTTATGATAAAAATAATAATAAAAAGAGTCTTTTTTATTTTAAATATATAGTTAATTAGAAATATTACAGATGAAAAATAAAGTTATAATAAAAAGGAAATTAATAAAGTTTAAATATAACTAAGTTAACTAAAAAACTTCATTATTTAAAAAAAAAAAAAATAAATAAATATATAATAAATATCATAATGAATTTATAAAGTTAAAAATTAAAAATATTATTTTGAATTATTTTTTTAAAAATATAATTAAAATTATGAATAATGTTAATAATAAAGTAACACTTATATATATATATATATATATATATATATATATAACAAAACAAAATATTTAAAATAAGATATATATATATATATTTAATAGATGTATTAAAATAGATAAAATATATGGTATATATTATATATGAAGTTATTTAAAGAAAATAATAAAAAATAAAAATAGATTATTAATTTTTATAGAATTCTCTTATTTATACAAAATTTATAAAAGAAAATTAAAATATTAACAATAAATAAAAATATAAGGAGGAAAATAATGAAATATAAATATAATGTATTATCTTTTTTTAATTTAATTTTAAAAATTTTTTTGTCGTTGTATGTTTCTAAAAATAAATATATATTTGATGAAAAATTTATAGTATTATTTAATACTTTATCAATAATTCTATAAATTTTATTTTGATTGGATACTTTAACAAAAGCAAATAATTTATTACTTATTTCAGAATATAAAGTTGCTTTATTATGAAAGGTATCACAAATATATTCACTTGGAGTTTCAATATTTTTATTATGATTTAAAAAGCATATATTACCATCTATGAGATTATACAAATAATTAGGAATTTTTATAGATATATTGTAAAAAATATTAAAGAAATAAAATTTTCTTAATACTTTTTTAATTTTTGAGATATTTTTTTCATTATTATTGTTTTTCACATTATAAGATAATATTTTATTTTGTATTGGATATTGTGAATTCTTTTTATTTATTTCCTTATTTTTATGTATCTTCTCATTATCAAATATTTTTTTATAATTATTTTTCACCTTATTTAAAAAATTTTTTAATATTTTTTTTTCTTTATATATTGTATAATAATTAGATTCATTATATATAATTTTTGAATGCCAATTTTTTTTAAAAAAATTTTCCAAAATATTATTACTCTTTTTGTATATAAAGTCATTAAAATACTCATATTTTCTACATTCAATGATTAAGACGTTGTTGTATGTGTTTTCATTTAAAGAAAAAATAAAATTATCAAAAACTAAATTATTATTTACATACATTTGGCTATCATGACACTTTCCCTTAACTTTGATTTTTTTAACATTTTCTTCAATATGTGCATTGTAAAAATAAATGTTGTATCTGAATTCTTCATCTAATATCAAATGTTTATTTGAAGAATCATTAATTAAATTAATATCATTTAGATAGAAATAAGAGGATTTTTTATTGTTTTTTATTTTAAATTTATATTTTTTAAATTTCTCATAAAAAATTGTTATTGCTTTTTCTTCATTTTCTTTTAATGAAATGCTATATGGTAAATCATAAAAATTTACTTTTTTTTTATCTATATAAATATAATATTGTTTTAGATAAAGTTCTTCACTTTTAATAATTTCATTATTATCTAAATATTCCAAAGTATTTTCATTAAAAAATATTCCATATTCTAATGAATTTTTTTTATATATATAATTCTCCCATATATTTAATAAAGGACTAATGCTTATTTCAGTAGAGTGTTCATTTAACTTTAATTCATATAAATAATTATCTTTATCAAATAGAAAATTGACATTATTTATTAATATATTACTAATAAAAATTTGATAATTATCATTACATCTTTTTGTTTTTAAATGGAATATAAAAAATTGAAATAATAAAAGAAATATATATTTCATTGTATTTTAAAAAAAAAAAAAAAAAATGTAAAAATAAAAGACAGGAATAATAAAATAATGATTTTAAAAAATAAAGAACTAAATATTTTTGACTATTAATAGTAATTATCTTAATACAATTTTAAAATATATTTTATAGTTATCTATATTTTTAATTTATTAGTTAATCTTTAGAAAATAATGAAATATTTTCATTGTTTTCTATATATAAGTAACTATTAAATTTTTTTTTTTTTTTTTTTTTTTGTATCACCATTTTATTTTTCTTATATTTAATTTTTCATTTATATAGAAATGTTTTAATATTTAACTTATCTGGATAATTATACAAATAAAAGTTTATAATAATTCTCTATATTTTTTATTTATGTTATTTATAAAATATTTTTTATAAAATGAAATTTAATTTTCATGTCTTTAATTACTTATTTAAATTATGCTATTATTCATTTTTTTTTTTTTTTCTATGTAAAAAAGAGTTTATTTAAAAAAAAAAAAAATGTAAAAATATTAAAAATATGAAGATTTACTTCTTAATAATATATATAATAATTCATGTCTATCTATAAAGGTATATTTATCGTAATAACAAATATACTTAAAAATAAATAAAATATTCAATTAAAATTTTAAACTTAAGAAAAAACAATAGATAATATAAATAATTTTTACAAATTTTAATAAAATGTAAAGATATTTTTCTAATTAAAATATTATTTATATAAAAAAAAAAAAAAATTTATGGTATTTTGTTTTACAAGTTATGATAATCGTGATACTTTTCTATATAAAGAAAAACATAAAGAAAAATAATGTTAATTCACTATTTATATAATATGTTGAAGATATAGAAGATTATAAAATGCAGAAAAGTTTAACTATTAGAAATGAAAAAAAATATATTTTTTTTTTTTTATTTTCATTATTATGTATAAAAATATTTCAGGTATATTTTTTGTATATTAATTAACCTTAAAAATAATCATATTTCTATATGTTAAAATGAATTTTATTTTTGATAATTTTATTCTTATAATGGTATAAGAAGAAAAAAGATTTTTTGAAGGTCTTAATATGTTAATTAATTGCACTTCTCGAAAAATTCTAATATATTAGAATAAATTATTACAGAAAAATAAAAAAAATATTTGTATTTAGTACAATTCAAGTCATTTTTTATTATAAAATAATTTTTTTTTTTAAAAATATAAGAATTAAAAATGTCTTCACTAGATTTATTTATACAAATAAAAAAAAAAAAAAAAATTGTCTATTATTATTTATTTTTATTTTTGAACTAGCAATGTGTTCTAAGAGCAAATTTAAAAAAAAATATTATGTGAATAAATATATTAAGATCCTTATGAATTTTATTAATATTACATCTTTTTTTTTTTTTTATCTTTGTTTTGTTGCATTAGTATTTAATAATAGTATTTAGTAAATTAAATAAAACAATAAAGAAATTTTTATTTAAAAAAAGTTCCTTAATCTATATTTTTCTCTTTCTTTTTCTTCTTAGAATAAATCATTTCGTTTTAGTTGAAAAGGTGAAATTAAAAATTTTACCTTAATAAATAATTAAATTGTAGAAAAATCATATTTAGAACTTCAAATTTAATAATGCTCTAAATTTTTGATAAAAAAAATTTTAAAGAAATACATATTCAACATTTTTTTTTTTAACATATATATTTTGAAAATATAAAAATTTTGTTAAACGTTGAGTTTTTTAGACTTATAATTTTATATAACTGTTATAAAAAAATAATAAAAAAAAAGTTGTAACATAAAAACATAATATTTACAAATTTCATATTGATATTATTCTTCTCACTTTTATAAAATAAAAACAGGGAAAAAATTTAATTTAATTTAATTTAATTTAATTTAAAATTTTCGTAATATTGAAACATTGAGAAATGATATAATGGTACTACTAAAAATATCATAAATAATAATATCAAAATAGATTCATCATAAGAGTATAATTTTTCAATAAATGATAAACATAATAACGACATTTATTTAAATAAAGAAGATTATATAAGAAAAATAATTGATAATTATGAAAACTATTTATTATGTTTAAAAAATGTTCTTAATTGTTATAAACATATTGAAAACATTTATTCTGATAATGATAATTAAAATAATTATTTTCACAATTTTGAAGTAACTATTTAAAAGATGAAAATAATGAAATTTGCAATGATAAGAATGTTATAAGTGAAGGTGATAATATTTATGAAAATGTTATTGAAAAAAGTAATAATGAATATATTAATGAAAATAATAATGAATATCATAGATATAAAGATAATACCCATGAAAAACTACTAGAAAAACTACTACAAAAGATATTAGAAAAACTACTAGAAAAACTTTTTAGTTTTTAATAATTTAAAAAAGAATTAATACAATTTCAAATAAATTTAGAAGATGAAAATAAAATTTACAATAAATACAATGAAAAATCAAGTAATGATAAGGATAAATTTTATAGTAAAAAAAGTTGTAAGTATATATGACAATGAAATATTAAAAAAAAATTTAGAGGATTGAGTAACAAAATATTAAGAATTGATGTAAATTAACTTAGAAATATAGATATGGGAATTTAAAAATTCTATCAACAAATTTTATTTTATATTTAGTAAGATATATAATAAAAATTAAAAAAGATAATAAAAATATGAAAAGTAAAGAATATGTTATAAGAAAATTCAAAAATTTATTTATTCAAATAAATAAGGATTGCATAGAAAAAGATAATTTAAATATCAACAATTATTTTGTATAGGAAAAAAACAATTGAAAAATTTATAATGAAACTATAAATTCAAATGATAAAATAAATTTTTAATTAGAATTATTATCTACAAATAAAACTACTAACTCCTTTAATTCTGTTAAAAATATAAATTATAAAATTAAAGATGATATAATTAATTTAATTAAAAACATATATGTTAAATATTTTAAAATAGAAGTAAATGAAAAAAAAAAAAAAAAAAAAAAAAAAGTTTTTATTGTCTTAAAATATCATAGTCGTGAAACAATCAATTATTTATCAATTCACATTTTGAAAAACAAATAAAATTCGTATGAATAAAAATTATCTGTTTAATTCTAATTGCTATATAATCAGTTGTAAAGAGACGTAATTTTCTCCTGAATTTAAAGAAGTAAAAACGAATGATACTGAAAAGTGTATAAATGAAAATAAAATATATTTTAATGAAAATACATATTCTGTTTTTGAAGATGGAAAAACTACTTGTGAATACATTGGTAATTGTGAAGAAGACAAGGTATACTGTTACAATATATTTCTTAATTCTATTAATATTTTCATTTTTTTTACAGCATTAATTTTTAATTTACATATAATATAAATTTTATGAATTTTTGTACATTTTTTTCATTACATTTTTTATTAAGTGAAAATAACAATAAGTTAATCATTTTTTTTTATTTTATCTATATTTCATTTTAAAATTTTATTATTATTTTTTTGTTACAGTATATATTTTACTTCTTTAACTTTTTATTAATTCAATACATATTTTTTATTTTCTTTATTTTAATATCAAATTGTTTATATTATTATTTTAATATTTAATTTATTTATCTGTTTTTTTTTTTTAATCATACAGTTGATTTCTTTTGCTATATTAACAGTCTTCTATTTTAATGAAATGTATTTTATAGAAATAGTATTTTGTTTCCTTACTAATTTATTATTTTGTTATATTAATATTTCATTTTTGTATTATTATACAATATCATATTTTCTTTGGTTATTAATTTAATTTTATAATTACAAATATAATATTTTTAATATTTAATTTTTACTTTATAATTTTACATTTTTTTTTTTGTCAATTTAATATATCACATTATGAATAATCAAGAAAAAAGTAAAGAAAACAAAAAAGGAGAAGTTTAATCCACCAAAAAAATAATTAAAAATATAGAAACGTAATTATATATATATATATATATATTTACTGCAAATTTTTGAAGGTATTAATTGTTTCTTTTCTTGGTGTTTTTTATTTTTCTTTTTTTATTTTTTAACTAAAAAAGAAAAAAAAAAATTTATGAAAATAATATGTCTAGGAGTACTCATTTTTTCTTTTTTTATATAAACAATTATTTCTTAGAATTACTGAAAAATGTGATAAATTATTTATACTCAATATTTGAAATGTTTTAATGACATTTGTATTTATGGAAAAATGTCATTCAAAAAAAGAAATTTTTAGAATATTATAAATTTTAACTTTTACATTTATTGATTTCTATATAAGTAATTTATACATATATTTGAAAAAAACTATTATAAAAAAAAGAAAAGAAGTATTTTTTTTTATATTAGTTCATATTAATATACATTTTTTTTAATTTTATAAATATAGATAAAATAAATTTTTCATAAATAAATTTTTACTATCTACTTAAAATAATTTTATCATAAAAAAAATGCACATTCATGATTAATAACTGAATTTTATTCTAATGTGATTATTACAACAAAAGAAATTTATAAAGAAACTAAAAATGAAAATACAACATATATAATAATTTATAAGAATGTCTTTTTATGTTTATATTTATCTTTAAATTTTTTTTTACTTTTATAAGATTTTTATTTTTAATTATTATGTATAAAAGTATGTTCATATAAATGTAAAAGTATTTTCTTTTATAAGTACTGAATACAAATAACAATAAAAACTGAAATATTTAAACATGCAACAAATTATATAAATAAACATTTATATTATTTATTTTTCGTGAATATTTAATGTTTTAATTTTTTTTTTTTTTTTTTAATATATTTTTTATTTATAAATAGTAAGAGAATAAATTTATAAGTGAAAATTGATATAAATAAAAAGAAGGTATGTATTAAAAAATAAAAGTGATATAGATTTTTTCAAAATAATTAGACTTGGTATTAATTTCAAAAAGAAGTGATAAAGTTGTAAACATAAAAAAAAAAAAAAAAGATTCTTTCATTATTATAATTCTAAAAAATGGTGTGGTTTAAAAATAAAACCAAAAAAAAGAAATGTTTTGAGCATAAATACAAAAAAAAAATAAATGAAGGTTATATTTCAAGAGCTTAAAATTTTTTTTTTCATCATGTTTTAAATAAGAATGAAGAATTTTTTCTTCATACAAAATATTCTTTATATTTATATCTCATTTTATTAATATTAAAGATATCTTCTACTACTTATAAATTTAATAGGTATTATTTAAAAAAAAAATTAATCCATTATACATGGGTTTTTTTTCATTAATTATTCATTCAATAATGTAAAATTTTATTATAGAACTAGTAGTTATTCTAATTATTAAAAATAAATTTTTTTAAACATTATGCTCTCCATGCTTATTTTTATAAATTTTATAATTTTCTTTATTATGTTTAAGGTTTTTTTAAATTATATAAAACTCTAATATTTAAATTCATTTTCTGAGCTATCTTATTTATTTGCAATTATATGCAAAAAGAGAACAAATTTTTTTTTTTTTTTTTTAAAAGTAATGTGTGTAATTAACTTTTTGTGATATGCTTTGCTTTTTTATTTAAAATTATATATATATTTAATCATATTTATTACATAATTTTTTTTTCACTAAGAGAAATATCTAAAAGTAAGATGAAAAATAAATTTATTAATACATATACTTTTTTTTGGAAAGTTGTCTATTTGTTATATTTTTTTTTTTATGATTACAACAGTATATATGAAAGTACAATAAAGGACAACATTTTATCTTAAAATATTTAATTGTTAGAATTTTTAAATTTTTTCGAAATTTTGTTTATTTTTATGTTGTTTAATATTTAAAATATCATTTTTTATTTTATGAAAAATTAATAAGTAAAGTTGCATTTTTTAAAAATAATTTTATTATATTTTATAGATGGATAATATAAATTCATTATTTTAATTTGAAAAGTAGGAATGTACTGTTTATTACTAATAAATCCTATAATTTACTAATATTTAAGATATTCATAGAGCATATTATTTTATTTTAATATATTTTTATTTAATTTAGTTCTATGTTGACACATTTTTCTTCTTTGTTATGAAATTATTGCTCTTTTTTTTTTAACTAAATTTAACGTTCTTTTATTTGGGATATCTTAATCAATTATTTAATGTTTATTTTTATGGTAGATAAATTTTATGTTTGGATATGTTTTTTTTTTTTTTTTTTTTTATTATTTCATTAATTTAGAAAAATATAATGCATTAACCTTTTTTTCTTTTTTTTTTTTTTTTTTTTTTTT